CTAATTTAGACATTAATAGCAAATATTTTATTTCTTAGCATAGACAGTGACAGTTTAATTGAATGCACTGCTCCATCTACCCTGCCATGGAAATGGAGCTGTTGTCATCAGGGTTTGACACTGAGCACAAATGACATGTGGGAGCATTTAGTTTGGGTTTGAAGTGGAAATATCCTTACTGACGTGGTCCAGCAGTGAATCTCCCCCTCCCACAACGATTAGCCCATATTTTGGACTATATAAATGTAAAATTTAGCACATTCTGAAACACCTAATACCTGGTTATCATGCCACAGCATTGTCTTAGCTATGATTATAGTGTATGATATTTGTCACATAATATATGAATTATACAAATAAATAAATACAATATGAACATATGTTCAATGTAAATGAAGATAATTTGTATAAATTTTAGATACATATATGAGTATATGCTTAGTGTAAATAAATAGATTTATTTGTATAAATTATAGAAATTATAGAAATATACGTTACCTTTTAAATATATTCACGTGATCAACCCAAATTAGGCATTTTCCTCCTTCTGAGCTTTTAATGTAATTTAGTCAATCTAAATAAGATCACTGATTTTCAGCATCAGAACAAGACTTATTTATCCATAAGCATTAATGTTGTTGTTATTTGGATTATTAATATTTAGCTTAACTTTCAAGTTTTTAAGGTTTACCAGATGATTTATGTCAAAGTGCACACGTTTCACTTTCTCTTCAGAAGGGGGCTGGGAAGGTGACTGTGATAACAGATCTGGTGATACCTGAGCCTGCACAGCAAGAGGCAGGGGCTGGAGAAATGCAAACAGCATATATTTGATCAGAGATGATGCTGCTGAAAGAAGGCAAAGGATTATTGTGAAGTCATCATACTTAAAAAACCCTTAAATCTCTGTCTGTAAACAGTTTTCCCAAATTTTCTGAATGAAGAGCAGTTCCACTGCCCCAAGAGGAGCTGCTTCAGTTTGCCATGCAAGTATTGTCACACGCTCGCCTCTCGTCGTACCGGGGTCCTTGAGCTCTGTTTTAAAAAGCTGCCTGTCTGTTCTCCGTTCTCTCTGTAAGGATGTCCAGTTTTGTAGAGCCTCCTGACATTGTAAAGAAGCTGTCCTGGGTGGAAAACTATTGGCCTGATGATGCTCTGCTGGCTAAACCCAAAGTGACCAAGTACTGCCTGATCTGTGTGAAGGACAGTTACACCGACTTCCACATAGACTCTGGCGGAGCCTCTGCCTGGTACCACGTGCTCAAGGTGAGGGCTCCTGGGTGTCAGGTGTATCTTGTGACAAACTAAGTTTTACACACAAAGAACCAGCATAAAATTCTCTTGAAATTCAGCTCTCAGGTTTGTTTCTCCATGGCTCTGTTGTATCTGAGCCTTATCTGCTGTAAGTGGGTTCGCTCCCAGCAGTGCTGGATCTCCTGAGTGAGGAAGCACGTGGAGCATGGAAATCCAAATCCTCTGTGTATTTTCACTCTATTAGAATTTTAATATTTGTTTAGTGCCTTCTGTGCATACATCACCCAAGGCCTTAAAGGTACCATGTCCTGCTTTTGCACAGTGATGGAACCTGGTGCTGTAAACATCACTCCCACAAATCTGAGCAGATGTGGTCAGCTGGTGCTTTAATTATTTCAGCCCCTCTGTACAAAGCTCACTAGCTAATTTTATTTAAACACGACTCAAATACACAATGTTATCTGTACATCTAGATAAATATTGGAGAGTGTGTGTGTGTCTGTGCCACTGCAGTGTTGTTTGGTTTGGCTGCTCATTGCTAATTTTATGTTTTCTAATTCAGGGAGAAAAGATATTTTATCTCATCAAACCAGCCCCTGCAAATATTTCTCTGTATGAACGCTGGCAGTCAGCAGCAAACCACAGTGAGATGTTTTTTGCAGACCAAGTGGATAAATGTTACAAATGCACCGTTAAACAAGGCCAGACACTCTTCATCCCATCAGGTGAGCAGGCTGGGGCAGGTGGGCTTCCCTCCTCTGTTCAGAGGAGCACATCCAAAATGCCAGAGGGGTGGGATTTGACAACTTTCTCTGACAAAGTCTAAAGTCTAATTCTCAATAGAAGTTTGATTTCATGTGCTTACAAGCATAGCAATCAAAAAAAGAAACAATCAGACCTTTTACTGCTTTCTATTAAAATTTTAGCAGCCTTTTTTACATACCAGTAGTAGGCAGAGTGTTCCACCCATGGTCTAGCTGGGTTGCAGTAACTCCTGAATTCTCCTTCTGTATCCACCATGACATTGGTGCTTTCTGACACCTAACACAGAATTTATGTTTGATGAATTTATATTCTGACCATGACACCCCACAAAATCCTTGTCATAGACATTAATCCCCTGAGGCACTCAGGAAATGCAGGTACCTGCATGAGGGTGAGCGTGCACTTATGGCTACACACTAGGCCAAAGACCTTGGTGTTACAGATTTTTATGGGTTATTTACTAGACTCAGGCTTTCTTTGGATATTAGGGATAGTGGATTTCATTTTTCTTGGTTCCTGGGAGGATCTCTATAAGGACAGGGAGTTGATCACAAAACAGTGCAGGGTTTGAAGTGAACACAGTTGTGCTCCAGCCCTTCTCCCTCACCGCCTTCTAATCATGAACAATTTCCTCATTTGCATTGGTGTTTCCAGCCCTCCCTGTTACCTGCTGAAACTGTAATCTCTTCGGGACAGGGATCTTCTCTCCCTCTACCTGCATGTAAATGATGCAGAGCCCTCCTCGAGCCACAGTCTGAGTGCAGGCAGTGGCAGTAACTGGTGCCAGTGCTCAGGAGGCAGCAGACAGTAGTGACATTTTTCTGTGTGTGAGTATATTCTTGCACAGAATGTTTACACACTTGAATTTTACCTCGAGTGTAAGAAGTGGAAAGTAGGTGTTTCTCTCATCACCACCTGTGGAGCAGATGGTGGAACAAACAGAGAGCAATTTATAGAGATTCCCTAACTTGAGTAGATTTTTGTATGAAAATACATGTTTGGAAAACACCTGGTTCTGACACTGTGATAAAGTACATGTCACAGGTTTTCATGGAGATGGGAAAGCAGCTGCCATTATGCAGCAAAATAAACAAGGGGCCACTTGTTCAAGGAGTGGTTCTGGGGCTGGACTGGAGAGCTGTACTGGTACCTAGGGAGGAAGCTGCTCAGTAAAGTATAAACATCACATTGTGATTAAAGTCTGTGCTACTGCCGTTCCAGTTTTTATCCTGAGGACTCTTGTCTTTCTCTTTTAGGTTGGATTTATGCAACTCTGACACCTGTAGACTGCCTGGCCTTCGCAGGACATTTTCTACACAGTCTAAGCGTTGAAATGCAGATGAGGTAATCTGGCATTAAAATCTGAAGTTGTGTAGAGGCTCAGTTTTTAATCAGTGAGTAATAATAAGTCGTTGGCAGTAAGGTTGGTGTAGCTCTGTTGGGCAGTTTTGGGTGGTGTACCCACCTTTGTGCCCTCTGACCACGTTCTCTCACGCTGACTCGTTCTCAGCTGCCCTCACGCCTGTTGCACAATGCACAGGAGGATATGTGAGGTGCCTGGGTTGGTGTGGCCATGTCCTGAAGGAAGAACTGCTACAAACTGCCAGGAGTTTTACCCTGGCACCTACCATTCAGTGCTGGATAAGCCCTCACCCACTCAGCTGGACTCTTTGCTCAGTGTAAGACAGTACAAGTAGTTCTTTATTGATTTTGGGCAAATAATGCAATAAAACTATCATACATCTGTATCACCAGTGTTTTTTAGTGGTGCTGTTGTTATATTCTGGTTTTGGCCTGATGCCAGACTACATGGCAGCAGCACAAAGAGGCTGCAAAGTGACCCTGGGGCTTTTGTGACACACTCGTGCCCTGTGATGCTCTAAGTTCCTGTGGCTTTGTCTTGCAGGGCATATGAAGTAGAAAGACGATTGAAAATTGTCAGTCTGACCCAGTTTCCAAACTTTGAAACAGCGTGTTGGTACACGGGGAGGCATCTACTAGAGAAATTCAAAGGTAAAACTGCATTTCCTTACCTGCCTCGATGGCTCAGCCTTGGGGTCTGAGAACAGTTACCCTTAATATTTGGTGGTGTCCACTTAAAGGATGAACAGGTGGCCAAAACTGGTCTTGTTAATGTTTGAAAACTACTTTGAACATACCAGCAGAACGTGCTGCTCTGGTCCAGCTCACCCCTGAACATCCTGCCGTGGGCTCTGGGAAAGACCTGAGCTGTTCCTCTTACTTGTGCCTATGAGAAGGTTTATTCTGCTTTATAAAATAATGCTGTTATTTTATTTTGAGTTGCCTGTGAGTCTGGATTCATTCCCTGTTTTAACTGAATGAGCTATGGGCTCTGTGAGCCCTCCTTTCTCCCTTCATCCTGCTGATCCTAGTTGAAGATATGGGCAGGTCTCATGGACACGGGGCCACAGGAGCATCAGGCATGTGGCCAGCAGGAGCATTGGGAATTAAAGCCAAGTTTTCTGTGAAGTTCCAGCTCTTTCAAATTTGATTCCTGCAGAGTTGATCCAAACATCCATGTGTAAATGTTCTTTACAGATTTGGGCTTGCTTTGCTCTTTGCCTCTATTTCTCTTACTATAGGACGTGTCCAGAGATATCCATCAGATCCTTCTATAAAGAGGAAAATTTGTCTAATTAATCCACAGGGTGCTTTTCAGAATTCAGTCAGAATCAAAGAGCCACTGATGGTACCTTTTTATTCCCACAGCCTGGATGAGTGGCCATAGAAGTTAGGGATGAGTATGGGACCGAGAAAGGAGCCAAAGGATTGCTGGTGTAGACAGAGCTGACAGGAGCACAGTGTAGGAAGGCTGAGCTGGATCTGTGACACAGTAAATATACTCCTTATTACCATCAAGTTACAATAGGGATTGAATTGTGGGGACCAACTCTCCAAGAGTTAACTTTAACTTTTCCAGTTAAACTTTTCCAAATTAAGGACTTCCTGTAAACTGTCAGTTGCTGAATGACATTGGGTTTTTCCTCTACTTAGGTTTGCATAAAGCTGGACAGCAGCCTCCTGCTCATCTACTCCAAGGAGCAAAGATTCTCAACGGTGCTTTCAGGTCATGGACTAAAAAACAGGTAGGAGAAGCAGCCTGGGTTAATATTGGGTGTTTGTTAGTTGCTGGGGCAGAGAGGAAATGCTAGAACAAATAACATCTCCAGAGCAAAACATCCAATTCCGAGATGCCAAAGAGAAGGAACTGGGAGAACGGGAAGGCAGGCGCTAGCTGGGATGTCATGGTGCCACACCAGGAGTGGGCAGGAAAAATGGTACCACCAGAGTTCTAAAAAAGTTGCCAAAGGGACAGTGGATGAATGTTCTCCTTGATTCCAAGCATCTCCCTGTGCCACAGCAGCTCAACAGAGGGTTTGTGCAGTGAGGGCTGGAACAACACCTGCTTTTCTGTGGGCACAAGGTGCCCAGTTCCTGCAAACCCAACACCTCGATCCAGCCAGGAAATACACACTGCTTGGAGACAAGGCTTAAGGGGATTTGAAGCCTCAATTTCCTGCTACAGCTATTTCAGAGGTGTTATTCTTGTTTGCGTGGCTCCTAAATTCTGGGGGACTCAGCTGCAGGAGATAGCCTATTGCATCACTAAACATGGACAGGGGAATTGGCCAAAGCTGGACTTTGACTGTGGTAACACACATGTGAGTGCAGGTGATGTCAGGGCTCCCAGAGCCCCCAGAACCCTCTGCTGACACAGTACCTGCCTGTACTGAGGACACCAGCCTGAGACAGTGTGTCTTGGTAAACGTAGAAAAGGAATTTCTCTCAGAATCTCATGTAAGAGGGTGAGCAAAATGATGCTGCAGCTGTGAAAAAGCAGTACTATCTGAAAAAAGATGATTGACTTTGTTGTTCTCTCAGGACAACTTGTTACAATAACATCTAGAAGGGGAAAAAAGTATATTTTTTCCTTATTTGAATGTCTAATGCAGTCAAGATTGATTTCAGCACATAGGAAAAATTTGGTCAAGTCACTTCAAGAGGGTTTTTTTTCTATTTTTGAAAAAAACACGCACAGAAACAGCAGTCTGGCTTTGTTGTGTTTTAGGCTTTAGCAGAGCATGAAGATGAACTACCAGAAAACTTCAAACCAGCACAACTCATCAAGGACCTTGCCAAAGAAATAAGATTAAGTGAGGTTTGTGCTGTTTTCATAATACTAACTATATATGTCTAGGCTGAAAAATGGTTGTATTTAAATAAGTGTTTCCCACTCTCTCCATTAAAAGAACTCTGCTCAGGACTCTTGTCTGTGGCTGACTTGCCATGTTCTGGGCTCTTCTTAGCTTTTCCTCAGCTTTATGCTGTGTCTGCCTGTCCTGCACCCTTTCTCCTCCACTTGGTCCTGGCTGGACTGGCCACACTCCCCTCTCCAGCCTTATTTTCTGTTTCACTTTAGCTTCTTCTCCCCTCAAAGTAGGATAGAACTCAAAGAACACTGTTGCCATCTTCATGACCACGCTCTCCATGTAACATCTGCTTTTTCTTGTGCTTAACACTCTTGTCCATGACATTGGCTGAGCTTGGAACTATGATCCTGTGCCTTGTCCCGGTGGGAAGCCTTGCTCTTGGGGCAGAGTAGCTATAGCAAATGAGATAATAATTATTACACTGCCCAAAAGAACCCAATAAACCCAAAAAACCCCCAATAAAGGAGGTTGCATGGGAGGATCATCCACTGAGTGTGGTAACATATCCCACAAGGTGACAGTAGCTGGTTCAGTTCCTTTGAGAAGACATTGTGTTACATTCCACCCCCTTTCTAACGACATCCAAAGACCTCAAAACTGAAATCTGTCATGTCCTTTGATCCTCTTTGATGTAGTATTTAAGTTTGCTGATTGTCAGAACGGCAAGTTAAGCAGAAAATAATTTCTTTTTAATTAGTCAGTGTTAATTTTAATTGGGCAGCTATTTTACTGCTAATTTTCCCTGGGGGGCATGAAATGTGATTCTGCTACATTTATCGTATCAGGATTAAGTGGAAAGTGTTTGTGCTCAAGCTGATCAGCATTTTAAGCAGAAGAGTGTTCATTTCATCCATCTGTTTGTGTGGACAGTCCATTTAACCGTCCCACCTGATGGACCTACATTCCCTACCAAGCCTCTAGAGTTTCTCCAGGCCAGACTTGTGCTTGAGGGACGTGGGGGTGGGAATTGGTGAGCAGAGCCTTATTGTGGCCTTTGGTGGGATCTTCATTCCCTGGCCAGACTGGCCTGTGATGCAGATCACCCTCCAGCAAATCTTTGGGGATCTTTGGGGTTTGTTTCCCCATGGAAGGGAGGGTGTAGGTGAATATCAACCATGAGACAGGCGGGTGTGAACACCTTCTGTTTTGTGCCAAACTGCAGAACGCTTCGAAAGCCAGCAAAGCAGACATGAGTGCCAACACCACCACCGAGGAGACCTGTCCTGTGGAGAAGGAGGAGGCACCTTCACCTGTCCAAGTGACGCCTCCGCCCCCTCCCGCAGAAAAGCTCCCTAAAAAAAAGACTCCCAAAACTGTGAAAACCCCCAAACAACTCAAGCCATCCAAACCCCCCAAACCTCCCAAGCCCCCTAAGCCCCCAAAGCCTCCCAAAACACCGAAAGTGAAGGGAGAAGGCAAAAAGAAAGGAAAGAAGGCAAAGGAGAGTCCCCCACCAGCCATCCCCAACCTCGACTTGCTGGAGGCACACACCAAGGAGGCTCTGACCAAGATCGAGACGCCAAAGAAGGGGAAGGTGGGTCATGTTTTAACCTCTCCCCCTTCTCCTGCCATCATAGGGATAAAATCACTCCTTAGGTCTCATGTAAAAGGTACTCTGTGTGACACAGTGTGAAACCCTGGCTCTGCTGATGAGAAGGAAAGATTTGTAACTGCTGATTCATTGCCCTTCTTTTATCCAACTCTTGGATTTAATTTGACTGTTTGCTTGGTTATTCTTTGATATGGAGCCTCCCAGAAACCCATTTATATCAAAAGGTGTCAATGATGACAGACCTTGTTTCTAAAGAATCAAATTTACTTGAGATTTCACTCTAGAAGGAGTGACTGGAGATAGAACAATAGTTTTCTTCCACTTCTGCCCATGCAGGACAAGTTTCTTTGTGATGTCCTTGAATTCTGAAACCTTTTAATTCAGCATGAATTTTGCTGTTGACTTCAGGAGGGGCCATTGAAGCACTGACAGAGGAATGTCAGAATTGCTGTTTGTAAAGAAATACCCCTAAATCTTTCCTAAAGCACTTCTGCACTTTTAGCAGTTTGTGTGCAGTTTGTGGTGCCTGTCACGGAGCAGCAGGCAGGGAGATGAGTGTGTTGGTGTATCAAGGAGAAGAGCAGCTGGTCTTCTGCAGGTTCTGAAGCAGCAATATTTGACTGAACCTCAGTTTTGGGTTCCAAAAGAATAAATAGGAGTTTTCAAAAATATATTGTGTTATATTCCAGATAAAGCCTGTGTTTCTGACATGCAGCACTGCATCCTCATTAAAAGGACTTTTTCCTGACTTTTTTTCCCCAGGCTGCAAAGAATGTTCTAAGTGTTCCCAATAAGGAATCTGCAAGCAAGCAGAATGAGGTGGAGAAATTTGAAGTCCGAGAGCAAAATAAAAGCAAAACAGAAGCCAAATGGAAATATAAGGTAACACCTCCTGTTAAATTCTGCTGCTAGTGCTGCCACATAATGACAAGCTGAGGGTGGAGAATCGTTCCTGGCTCTACCTAAGCAGAGAGAACAAGACACCAATTTTGAGTTTTCAAAGAAAAAAATTAAGCAGAAAAGAATCAGTCACTGATTAAGGAAGTGGATGTGTGTGGATGAATTCTTGGCTAGCATGTGCTGAATTATCCATCTAATCCATGGTGACACCAAACTGTTAACAGTGAGATGTTCAGTACTGATCCCTTTTGTGATCCTTCCTGGAACACAGTCCTACTGCTTTAAGTCTGGAGTAGTTGCAGAGAAATCAATAACTAATCAATAATTAACTAATAATTTATACTCAGTAACTAATTTTAATGGCATGAAATTAAAGTTAATGAAATCTGAATTATGCCACATGGACTTAAAAGCTTACCTTCCTGGAGGGCTAATGGAGGGTCAGTGAAATTCACTCCTGGAACAGCACATTTTGTCTGCAGGGGCAATTAAATAAGGTGACCTCAGGCTCTCTCACTGAAACAGATCTTTGTTGTGAAATTCTAATGACAAAAGTGCAAATTCCCCTGTTACAAAATCCTCTGTTACTCACCACATTTGGGGGACCTTATTTGGACATTGGGAAGAAATCCTTCCTGTGAGGGTGGGGAGGCCCTGGCACAGGTTGCCCAGAGAAGCTGTGGCTGCCCCATCCCTGGAAGTGTCCAAGGCCAGGTTGGACGGGGCTTGGAGCAACCTGGGCTAGTGGAAGGTGTCCCTGCTCATGGCAGGGGGTGGAATGAGATGAGCTTTAAAGTCCCTTCCAACCCAAACCAGTCTGTGATTCTATGATTTTGCAATTCTCTTTTACTCTGTCTGTAGATGAATAGACTCTCTGAAGATACCTGTGAGTCTACAACATAAATGACATGACATTTAACTGGTTTAATTGTTTTGTTTTGCTTCGTTTGCCTTTCAGAACAGTAAACCTGATTCACTTCTGAAAATGGAAGAGGAACACAAATCAGAAAAGACACCTTTATCAGGAAATAAGGACAACAAATTTACATTCTCTTTCTCTAATAAGAAGTTGCTTGGGTAAGTAAAAATATGACAACACACGTCAACTAAAAAAGCAGATTGAAAAGTCATTATTTATATTTTTTTACAAGAAGATGAAAATCTGCCTTTCTGGTCAATTTAGAAAATACACTATCATGAAAAGTTCTTCTAGTGCTTTAGTCAACATCCTGTTTTGAGATATAAATTGTAGGTTCAGAAACGTGTTTGTAAAATTATTCTAATTGCTTTGGCACCCCTGAAAGTATCAAGTTGACTGAGAATTCTGCATAGAGATACTCATTGTCTTCCTCTCTGTCAAGTCACAAGCTGTTTTCTACTCAGTGTTGTTACTGATTTGTAATTTTTCTTTTCATTTCAGTTCAAAGGGAGTCAAAACCCAGCTGAATACTAGTGTGTTTGGGTCACTGCAGAATTTTAAGGAAGACAAAGCCAAACCTGTACGGGATGAATATGAATATGTGTCAGATGATGGTGAACTAAAAATTGATGAGTTTCCAATCAGAAGGAAGAAAAACACTTCAAAAAGAGAACTGCCCTGTAAGAATATTTCCTGGTTTGTCTTTATCTGCTCAACAAAGTCTTAGGTGGTGATTGTCCAGAACAATCAGCATGTGATTTATAGTAAAGAAAACCATGTTTTACCTGTCAGTCAAATGTAAGGGAATAGGAGGGCTGGTTTTTGGAGGGAAAAGAACCATGACTCTGTGTTTCTTTTTATTCATTCAGTTTTATCAGATAAAAAAGACACCCTGCAGCACACTCCTGTTAAGAAGCCAAAGGTGGAGTCGGTACCATACAAGGTATGATGATATTGTTCCTTCACAAAGTCCCACTTGAACGAGAGGATCTTTAAGGTCCCTTCCAGCCCAAACCCTTCTGTGATTCTGTACCTGTGATGCAGCAATTAAAGTGTTTGTTTGCTGTGGTCAGTACAAGTTCATATTATACTATCTGAATAAGTCAGAAAAAGAAAATAGTTTGTTAAGGCAGAACTGGAGTTGACCAAAATGTTTGGTTTTAAGTACTAAGAAATTCTCTGCACCCTGGTTTGTCTCTGGGATATTCAGGAGGAATTGTAGACCTCCTTGCCTGAGTCAGGAGCTGATGTCTGGAGGCTGGTGGTGTCTCCCTGTGTGGGAGCTGAAGGAGGGAGTCCCTGGAGAGAACAGACTGGCACTCCAAGCAATAAAGGCTGGCACCTCAGCAGCCTGAAAACAGGGCAGGGAGGGGAAAGGAGTTGTTTTGTTAGACTGTAGGCTACAGTGCACAGAAATCCCAGCCCCAGGGAGATGGTCAGGTGTAGGCAGCTCCCTTCCATGGCCCCACATGGCCCCTGTTCCTATGGATCTGTGCCATTCTGCTGTCTGATTTCCCAGCCTCCTGCAGTGGGCTGGCAGATGTGGGTCTGTCCCCATGTCTGGATTGTCAGTGTTGGCAGTCTTGCCAGGTGCAGATCTGTGCCCTGCTGCACATCTGGGCTGGCAGAGCCATGGCCACACAGTCCCCTCCTTTCCTGGAGGGGTCATGGTCTGAAGAACTGGAGCAGGGGCTGGGAAATCAAAGCAGCACCTGGAAACACCACTGTTAGAGTGGTCTGATCCCATGAGCAGGATCAGATCTCAGAGCTTTGGGAGGGGAAAGAAAAACCCACCATGCCTACAGACTGCAAGGAAATGGATTTTTACCATGCACCTGGTTTTGTTCTTTTTATCTTTAATGAAAGCAAATTCCAAAGGCTAGTCCTGTGTCCTTGGAGGAGCAGCAGGCTGCAGGAATCATTGTGCTGTTCTTGTTGAGTAACTCAGTGAGTTTCCACCTTTTTTTGAGCCTTTCCCTTGTTTTTGCAGAGCGAGGACTCGTCAGATGAAGATTTGCTTCACATTGACACCGAGGCAAAGCCGGGACGTAATTCCAAAGTAAAGAAAGAGAGTGGAAGTTCAGCAGGAATTCTTGACCTTTTGCAGGCAAGCAAGGAAGTTGGGGGTTTAGAGTATAACACCAACAGGTACGCACCAAGGGAGGCTTTTCCCTCTTACCTGGGAACAAAACTGCTCTTTTGTGGCTGTGTGTGAGAGAGAATGAATTGTGCAGCTTGGCAACTGCTTTTTCTCCAGTAAGCAAATTCTTCCTTTGTCCTATGATCTGGAGGTGGGAAAGATTTTTGGGGTATAATTTAAACAAATAGAGGATTTGACATCACTTTTAGCAATAATACTGTAATAGATAAAAATCATTCAAAAGGAGGAGAGAGCTCAGTGACTGCAGCTTGAGGGCATGAATTATGGTTTTTAATGTAGTGAGATTGTGATAAAGTAATCTAAGTGACCAACATTCCTTCCATAAGGCATTGTAAGGTGCCATGAATATCAAATGTTTGCAAGAAGAAAATAGGAAACTATCTACCCTCCCTCCTATCCCTGGTCATCATTCTTCTCCCCACCAAAAAATATGGCTTGGGGAAAAAAGTAAACTCTTTCATGGGTACTTCTATTTCTGAAATGGAAATATTTGCCTGGGCTTAGCTGTGTCTTATGTGGGATCTACTTATGTAGGTGAATGTGGGAACTGAAGCTTGATGTTTTGGGATGTGGTCAGTAAGGTACAGCACTAGATCATTCAGTAATCCAGACAGTGAGTGGTGAAAAGAAATGGAAAACAAGTCTAGGCTAGGCTCAAATCCTGCATTCAGGACTGTCTGGAGCAAGGGGTGTGTCTGGGTCCATCTCAAACCAGATGTGTGGGGTCATTGCCTCCACCCTTCACAGCCCAGCTCTGATCTCAAACCATCAACAGACAGCTGGTAACAGAACATGGTGTTGTTTGGAGAGAAGTTAGTGGGACTGTTCATGTATTGAAGTATCTTGCTTAACTCAAACCCTAGGAACAAATCCACAAGGAAGGGGTTTTGGGAACATCAGCTGAGTTGTGGCTTCCATGCACAGAACTGCTCCTCGGGCAGGAGCTGCTGCGCCGGTGCCCGGTGCTCCCTCGTCATCTGCTCATAAGGACATCCTTGCTGCTGCAGCCTGGAGGGAATGGTTTGTCCTCCATCTGTAGAAAAGCAGAGGTTTTCAGCCAAGCACTTCCCACTGCTCCCCAGGAGCCACAGCCGTGGTACTTTTGGAAGCTGTGGGCTGCTGGCAGAAGTTTCTAGATTCTGAATTTGTGCAAACCAAGGCATAAACCTCTGAAGGGTGAGAGTAACAAGTCTGATGTGGGAAATTATGTGAGACATGTGGAAGGCTATTCGTGATTGGCTTTTTAATAAGCCAGTTCCATCTTCACCTTGAAAACCACCTTCCCCAGGCAGGTGGGATGTGTTGGGTTTCCTTGCTGACTGCTGGAACCAATAGCATAATTTTCCTCCCTCCTTTCTCTTGGTCTGCCTTGGTTATACAAAGCCACAGAAGCTGTGGAGGAGGTAGAAGTAGCTGTGGGAATGACCTGAGAGTTGAGAACAAACTGGACAGAGAGGCTGGTGCTGTCCTTTGCCCTTGCTGGGTGTTGGGGCGCTGTGACCCAGGGAAGGTGAAGCCTGCAAATTGAAAAGGATCTGTCAAAGTGGAATGAGGAGATCCCTCCAGAGAGGAAGATATTATCTAAGCCTGGGAAAGTTAAAAGTCATAACTGAGAATTCCAAAAGCTATGCCTCGTGGTCAAAGGGGAACATGTGGAACAAGTTACCAAGGGAAAATTACAATAGAAGAAAATATTATCAGGGATTTTGAAAAAAAAATCATTTTTTTGATGTTGAGAGAGAGGGTGGAATTTGTTAAGATTGCAGCGTGGTGACAAAGCTGCAGAGAAATCTAGAGAAGGGAACACTGCTGAACTAAAACCATCTTCTGGTTCAACCTTCTCAGCTTACTAGAAAATTGTGTCCTCAGATGGTTGCAAGAGATTAAAAAATATGATATGGCCTGGCTTCATGCAGGGTGCATTGGCTGTGCAGAACCAGGCAGCTCTGTTGAGACACTCTGGCCTTTGGGCACCACCATTTAGGGTTCATTACTGGTTGCAAAGCAGGGACTGGGATCCCCATTCCTGTGCTGAGCAGAGATGGGCCACAGAGTCTCCTCTGGTTTCTCTTTCCATCTCTGATGGGGGTGAAAAAGGCTTGATTTTAAAATCAAGTCACACAGTCACTTCATCTCCTCAGAAGTCTTGTCTTGACAAGGCTGCTATTTCTAGGGACAAGATCTCATCTCTCTCTAGTCCTGGTTTTCCTGTGTTGCTTCCCTTTCCATAGCAAGGAGGGGTTGACCAAACATCTGTCATGGAGGGCATGGGGAGAGGTGTCCATGTGTCTGCAGCTCCCAGGAAATCAAGTAGTTTTTGTTGTCTTAGCTCAACTGGGTTAGTGGTTCTGGATTTTCCCAATCTCTTCAGATTTGGCCCCAACTCTGCTCCCACACTTCAAAAGAAATAATCACGTTAACACTTGTCTGTTTGACTGTTCCTGTGAATTCCTTTTCCATTCTGTGTTGTGGTCCATAATGGGATGAGTGTTTACATTGAATTTACAGTTACATTTTGGCAGGTCATTAGACATGTTGACAAGCAGCTAGGTGTGTCTAACTCTGTCAATAAAGTTGCCAGGCTAATAGAACTCCCATGCTGGAAGTCTGGTACAAAAAAAAGAAAATTTATCAACTATTATAAGAATTCGAAGAAATCTTCCTTGACCTTGTGCACGCTACCAACCATTTATTGCCTGCTGATGAAATGGTCCTCCAATATTCTCTGCCTTGCTTGGGGTGTGTTTTGCTGCTGGCAAGGGTTTAAACTCCCAGAATAGAGAAGGACTCAGGCCTTTGCTTGCCCTCCCCACTCCTGGATGATGTACCCAAGGTATTTGTAGACTTTGTGGTTTCTGAAATCAAAGTCTCCCAAGCACAGTCATGTCACTGGACTCGGCTGAGTTCCTGCACTGTGTGGGGCAGTTCAGTGGGAATGTGTCATATCAATGCTGGCTCTGGGATAAACACTGGGCTTTGGCAGTGTGTGCTGCATCTTGATTGAAAAAAGCCCCTGATAAATGTAATTACTGTGTTTCATTTCATAATTAGGCTCGACTTTTTAAATGACCGTAATGTGCTTTTTAAAAATAAAATGGAAGAAACATGATATGCAAACGTACTGAGTCGCAACATGATGCCAGTGTGGTCATGTCTGACTCTCAGGAGCAATTCCCATCTTTCTCTACTTGTAAGGCAGATGAAGGGTAGGGATATGTATGTATTTATGGATATACATATATATATATGTATATTCTGGATACACCACGTAGTGGTCGTGCAGGTGGGTCACCGTGGAGTCTCCTCTCACACATCAAGCAGTCTGTGCATGGAACCCTGTCAGACCAGTGCTGGAGCTGCTGTATCCCAGCACTAACTTGGGAAGCAGCTCAGGGCTTTTCGTGATAATGGCCTTATCTGAATTGTGGGAAATTTTGTTCTGTAAACTACTGGGCTGTCATTTGTAGCTGCCCACCTCAAATGCCCTGATGGCGTTGCCTCGACTGCTTTAGAGAGCTGCAGCTCAACTCCATGTGTCAGTGGGGAGAGGGAATGACAGAGCTCCTGCAGAAAGGCTGCTGTGAGTGTGGGAGTGGGCTGAAAGAACTGAAACGGAATATGGCAAAAGCTTGGAGGGCTGGTCGTCACCTGATCTTGAAATGAGCAAAATTACTTGTTGTGTCCAGGTCTGATTCAAAAATGGAAGGAAACACTGGGGTTGTGCTTGGCATTATTGGAGTTCCATAGTTTTATACAACTGTGACTTCTCCAGAGCCACCCCTCAGTCAGTAATATTCTGCTGGAATATTGTAAATTCAGTTTCTATATATGAGGATATAGGTGGAAGGCTTAGTAATTGCTGATGAAAGGAAGGGGATGATCTGCCTAGAGAGGCTGAGCCCTCAGAGAGAGGTGACAGTGGTTGTGAAGAGTGAGGCACCAGGTCCCTGCATGATCCCCTGCATGATCCAGGGTGTTGGGATCATTCCTGTGCCCAGCCTCACTGAGGAGGTAAAGCCTGAGTGCTGACTTGGTGTATTCCTGTCCCCATCACCCACTATGTCACCTGCTGTCAGGGATAGGATGCTCTTGTCAAACCTGGCTCAGTACCATGGACCCCTCCTTTTCTCCAGGCTGAGCTCCCTCAGCTGTTCCTCATTAGACTTGTGCTCCAGACCCTTCTCTAGCTCTATTCCCTTCTCTGGTCACACTCCAGCTCCTCAAGGTCTTTCTTGTCATGAAGGGCCCAAAACTGACCCCAGGTTTTGAACTGTGGCCTCAGCGCTGCCCAGCACAGGGGGACAGTCCCTGCCCTGGTCCTGCTGGCCATACTAGTGCTGGTACAAGCCAGATAAAGGCACAAACAGCTGTCAGTCAGTTTGTTAGAGTGTCCCTTTCTCTGTGCATCCACAAGAGCATTTGTCAGCCTGAGAACAGGAACACAAGGCTGCTGGGATTGAGGCAGGTCAGAGCTATTGCCCAGTGCCACCTCGCTGTGTATTTGGAGGTGGCTGTGGGGGCAAAAACACTCTGGCTGCTTTGTTCCTGCTCCCATGCTCTTTTAAAGTGTTTTTAAGCTGTAATTGTAACTCTCTGATAGTTTACTTTCATAAATGTGGGGTTTTTTAAAAAATCATTGCTAAAGCTACAGAAAGGGGATACGGCTCTTCCAGAGCTTCAAAATAGCTTCCTGAGTCTTCTTGAAATTTTTCTTGGCTTAGAAAGCTGAAATACCCCTGATGGAAGCACACCAGGCACATGCCCTAATGAGAAACACTCTGCCCCATGTGCAGCTCCGTCTCTGAGATATTTCACCCATTTCAGGTTGGAGTTGGACTCTCAGAACCACTGGTTTTGATCATATCCCACCATTCATTTGTTGAAGTTTGTGTTGCTTAAGGCAGTTCCTTTCTGATTTTCCCATTTAGTGGTCAATGTTTGATGGTCTGTTTGCAGTGTTTTGAGAGTCCAGTGCTTGGAAAAACAATTCAGGGAAAAAGAGTGAAGGAAGATATGTTAATTCCTTATAGATGGTGCAAAATATGCCTTTACCAGAGAGAAGGCAAAGGAGGAGGCATGATACTGGAGGAATTTAAATGGCTGTTTCCTAAATAAGTTTTTTTAGTGTTCTTCTATTCGCTGACTTGTGAGCTAACACCAGTCTTAGCTCATTTTCAGGATTATTTATAAATGCCCTTAGTGCCCAGAAACTTCCATTATGTCTTGTATGTTACTCTATCCTGAGCCCAAATTAAGCTCAAGTGGCAGAAAGCGACGTGGTGCTGCTGATTCTCTTGGGAAGGGCTGTGTGTTCATGGCTTCTGTTTCACAGCTCTAACAAACACCCTTGCCACAGCAAGGTTTTGTTTTGTTTTGTTTTGTTTTTGTTTTGGGGGTTTTTTTTGTTGTTGCTGTTGTTGTTGGTTGGTTGGTTGGTTGGTTTTTTGTTGTTTTTTTTTTTTTTTTTTTTTTTTTTTTTGCATTTCACTACTTGCCCAAAATCCAAAGTTCTGGAAATAGTGGATGATGTGTTCTGCCTGTTGCAGAATTAATCTCTGGTGTTCTCCTGTGAGATTATCTGTGTTCATCTCTGTGGTGGGCAGGGCGCCTTCCCACCTCACTAAGTGTCAGTGCTAGTCAGAATTTACACCTCGTTTGACCTCAGCCTATTCTAGGAATGCAGTAGATGTGCTGTGTCTGCTGACAATGGGCAATCAAATACTAGAAAGGAAGTTCAAGGAAATCTGTGTCTCTCCAGTGTCTCCCGTAATCAATCCGTCCCACACTCACATCAGAAAACCTTCCCAGTGTGCTGCAGAAAGTTCTCAAATTACTTGTGCCTCACCGTGTTGCTCTTCCAGCAGATCCTGGAGGGGTGACAGTCCCTGTTGTGAACTGGGGCCTGTGACCATGAACTTTCCTTCTGGTTGCTCATGCTCTTGCTCTAATTGCTTGTATGGAGCAGAGCCCTCCATGACATCCCCCATCAGTGCTGGTGCATAAGCTCTCCTTTTATAGGACTTGGTAGTATAGATTATAAATATTATTATTAAAATATGATGATGAGGAGGAGGAGGATTTGGTAGTACAGATAAATAGTATTATTAAATATATATAAGTAGAGAAATAATATTATTAAAAGATAAAGATGATGATGGTGATGACTATGATAGTTGGTAGTAGAGACACTGTACTGTTGGGAATACAATATGGGCTTTGGAAAGTTCCCTGAGCCCTGTCCAGAGCAATGACAGCCCCCAGGGACATGCCCACATCTGAGGATGTCTGGGATACTGCTGCTCCATAAAATTACCCGCTGTCCCTGGCGGTGTGTCCAGCTACTCAAAGGAACCAGGGAATCTCTTCTAGCACAAACGTGCTGTGAAAAGAGCGAGCTGTCTGTGAGGGGTTGGTGTTTCTGGAATCACTGATGGCTCCTGTGTTTCTCCCTGTGTCCCCACAGCCAGCCACCTGCTTCCCCCAGCACCCAGGAAGCCATCCAGGGCATGCTCTCCATGGCAAACCTCCAGGCCTCGGAGTCCTGCCTTCAGACGTCGTGGGGCACCAACCAGGCGAAGAACAACTCCATCTCCACGCAAAACTCCAAAAAAACAGGCGGTGGCGGCAACAAAAACGCCGGGAAGCGGTTACTGAAGAAAAGCACAAAGAACAGCATCGACATGGAGGATTATGATGAGGATCAGGACCACTTGGACGCCTGCTTTAAGGACTCGGATTACGGTGAGTGGGAAGGAAGCAGGGTGTGCCTGGGGCTGCATGGTCACACGTGTGCATGGCTGCAATACCCCATTGCCCATGGTCGCTTTCTCCTGCTCTGCCCTGGTGGTGTCGGCCGGTGTTGGGTGAGGAGGAGTGTTTGTAACACGGGGTCTGCACCACAAAATCAGCAAAGACCCTGTGATACCAGACTGGCTGCAGAGCCCGTGGTGACACAGCCGTCCGGGCAGGCTGGAGTTGAGGCTTGGCACAATGAGAAACTCTCAGAAATATGAAAAGCCCCTGAAACTGTAGCAGTCGACCCAGAAACAGGAGACTGTCTCAGAAATGTGGGTCAGGCACTCGTGACAGAAATATCTGTGTCTGCACAACGGCAAAGAAACATCTGGCTGAGAGGGGTGAGAAGTTGACTTTGTACATGGAAAAGGGATCCAATGCTATTTTGAGTGTTGGCAGAAAAGGCCAAGCATCTGCAGCAGAAATGAGCACAAAACCAGTTTGCACCAGTTACATCAGTTCTGTCATAGTTATCATGGAATCATGGAATGGTCTGGGTTGGAAGGGACCTTAAAGCTCATCTCATTCCAACTCCCTGCCACGGGAAGGGACACCTTCCACTAGCCTGGGTTGCTCCAAGCCCCATCCAACCTGGCCTTGGACACTTCCAGGGATGGGGCAGCCACAGCTTCTCTGGGCAACCTGGGCCAGGACCTCCCCACCCTCACAGGGAAGAATTTCTTCCCAATATCCATCTAATCCTGCCCTCTGGCAGTGGGAAGCCATCCCCCCTTGTTTTGTCACTTCAGCCTCCTCTCCAAAGTCCCTCTCCAGCTCTCTTGGAACCCTTTTAGGCACTGGAAGGAGCTCTAAGGTCTCCCTGAAGCCTTCTTTTCTCCAGGCTGAAGAATAATATGCAGAAGCATTTTTGTGTATAAGTGAGGAAATCAAGACAATAAAGTAAATGCTGATAGGGACTGGGAAGCCTGAAGTGCTTAAGGGGGCAAGAAATTGGTTTATGCTGCAAAGCAGGAGAGTCTCTGCATGTGTTTCAGTCTCCCTGGCAAGTATGACCATCAGGAATCACTTGCTCCAGTTAGGAAAGAGAAGTGGGTCTTTTCAGATCATTAATAGAGCTGCCAAGGAGAAGTGGGGCTGCTGTGACAGGTTGCAGGAGACTGCCCAGACACTGGAGAGCACATGCACTGGGATGCAGTGGAAGTCCTGGACATGCTTTGCAAAAGGGCAGCACAGGACTGTGGTTGACAGATGTCACATGTGCTGTCCTGAGGGGCAAATTTGCTCCCTGTGCCGGTGCTGCCAGTGAATGGAGAGTGGTTGTGAGCATGCTGGGTCTGCAGAGGCTCTGCCAGTGCAACATGTGATCCACAGACTTCAAGTGTCGGTGGCCACGTGCCCCAGGAATGCCAACACCAGGGATGGGACAAATGGCAACTGGCAAGAAAATGAAATGCATGTGAAAAAAAACAACAGAAGCTTCTTAGAAAAGGCTGGAAAAAAGTTTGAGCAGAAAAGTTAGTGTTTATCCCAGAGGGTTGGGAAGAGTCCATTCATAGAATGGCTCAGCTTCACCTAGAAAAGAGGAGACTGAGGTCAGACCTCATAAGGATCTGCAGCTCCTCCAGAGGGGCAGCTCCAATCTCTGCTCTGTGTGACCCAAGGGAATGGCTGGAGCTGTGCCAGGGCAGGGTTAAGCTGGATATCAGGAAAAGGTTCTGCCCAGAGGAAGGTCAGGCACTGAACAGGCTCCCCAGGGCAGTGGTCACAGCCACAAGGCTACCAGAGCCCAAGGAGTGTTTGGACAATGCTCTCAGGGACAGGGTGGGATTGTTGGGGTGTCCTAGGCAGGGCCAGGAGTTGGACTGATGATCCTGGTGGGTCCCTCCCAACTGAGGAGATTCTGTGATTACAGAGTACCCTAAAAGTACCCGGTCACAGTTTAATGACAACAGCTCCCAAGGGTAGTGTGTGCATGAGAGAAGAGGAAAGTCCCCTGAGTGTCACAGCTGCCAGCCCTCAGTGGCACTTCTGGGGACCATCCAGCTGTGGTGCCTGTGGTCACCACACCTGGACAGAGCAACGTGCAGGGTAGAGCTGTTTCCTACGCTGAAACTATTGCCTTTGTTTCCTACTGTAGTTTACCCTTCTCTCGAATCAGATGAAGATAATCCAGTTTTCAAATCCCGATCAAAGAAAAGGAAAAGTTCAGATGATGCCCCTTACAGTCCGACGGGTAAGTCCATGTTGTCTGTGCTGCCCAGACTCAGGCTAAGTCGTGCAGGTCCCTAAAAACCAGCCATTTTTCCAGGAGTGTGGAAACCATAACTAGTGATTTCTTTATCATGTGAAGGATTAACCCTTTCCAGCACAGTGGGAGGTGATCCATGCACTGTGATTCCTGCTGAGCAGTGTTAGCCTTCCTCCTTCAATCAGCTGGCAGGAAAAAATCATTCCTTGGTTGGTTTATTTCTCCTCACACTCTTGGTAGTGGATCAGTTGGTGGCACCTTAGCAGAGGGGTAACAGTCAATCCCCGGACACTGAGTAGCCATGGGTTTTAGGTGGTGACTGTGGGAATAGTGAGAAAGTGTGGGAATAGTCTCCTCCAAGCTCAGCCAAAGCTGGGTGGGTTTGTTGGGGCTCACCAGAGGCAGTGACAGGCAAGAGGGTCCTTAGACCCCTTTGATGTGGCCCACGAGTAGGGGCCCCTCCATGGCGTGCTGTGTGTGTGACAAGCAGCCCATGTCTCATCAGCTTGTGGCACTGCATGTCCTCCCCCGAGGGGGGAGTGAGCACCATCCATTTGGAAATGACGCTGGAGTTGCTCATATCCATAATGTGGGCACACACCCACACAGCTTTGGCTTCAGGTGGCCGTGGAGTTGCTCAGCTGTGTGCCATCTTTATCAGCAGCTTCTCCCCACGCTGCTGTGCCCGGAGGCTGTTGGCACCTCTGCCTTCAGTCACACCCTGGGAAGGGAAAGGCAGAGGCTGGCTGTCCCCATCTCTCCCTGCTGAGGAGGGCAGAGCCCCAGTGCCCTGTGCATGGCTGTGCTGCTCCCACAGGCACATCCCTGCCCCTCACCTGCCTCTGCTTGCCTTGCAGCACGAGTTGGCCCCTCAGTGCCTCGACAGGACAGGCCGGTGCGAGAGGGCACGAGAGTCGCCTCCATCGAAACCGGACTCGCCGCTGCCGCCGCCAAGTTGTCACAGCAGGTGAGAGACTGCTTGGGCAGTAGGAGCTGTCAGGGGAGGACAGCCCTGTCCCCCAGCAGAGCTGTGCCCGAGTGCAGCGCAGTGCCAGCCCTCCACAGTGTTTGCTCATGCCAGGGACACAAGGCTCAGCAGTCTCAGGGTAATAAACGGGATCAAAGCCCAACAGTGTCACAACACACCTGAGCACGCCACAGGCTGACAAGGGACAGAGGAAAAGCGTAGGGAGGGGTGAGGGAGCGAGAAGGGCTACCAGGGTAGAATAGGAGGAGGTTGTCCCAAAGGAGTGTATTTGGTGTGTATTTGAGAGCCTGACTGGTGTGATTGCCTGTCTGTGCAGATCAGCTGCTGGGAAGTGTCAGGATTTGCTTCCAAAGATTTGGTGAACTGTGGGTAGTTAGGGGCCAGTTTAGCAAAGGTACTGGGGCACTTTGGGTGTTGGCAGGTGTCCAGTCTCTGAAGGGGTCAGATAGGCCCCAGATAGGTAACATGAGGAGGTGCTAAGGTGACAAAGTCTGCTGGAGGAAGGTTGGTGAGGCACCTCGGGAAGTTGATGGAGATGCAGGTTGTGGTGGCTTTGGGCTTCTGCGATGTAGACTGTTGAGTAGAAGAGCTTTGAGGATGGTGGCAGGGTATCATCAAGAAGAAACTGAAAGTAAGCAAGGGACTCAGGACGGTGATAGACTGCTGTCCTCCAGGTGCAGGTACAGGTCAGGAGATGACGTGTGTGTCCTAGTGGGAAGCAGAGGCTGAATCAGTGGGATGTTTAATACCCTCCGTGCTGTTGTGAAAGGGTGTGAAGATCCCTGAAGATAGGAGGTGCCAGTTTTTGTGGAAGATGGAAAGCTTTGCTCATGCCGACCCCCGCTGCCGTGCCAGGGCAGTGTTGGTGTGGCCCTGGCTGGCTCCGCTCGCCGCAGCGGTAACGAACGAGGAGGCTCTGCCCGGGGCGTGGACGTAGAGGCACGAGAGGCAAACGTGTGTGTGCAGCTGTGAGCGAGACGGTGTCGGAACAGCCCCCGAGCGCTTGCCCGTGGCCAACTCTGCGGGGTTTCATTGTATCAGCACCCTAAGCAACGCCGCTGGCCCTTGCCCTAGCTAAAGGTCTTCTGGGGATTAATCTGAGCTTCATCTTTGTCATTTTAAAGGAGGAACAAAAAGGCAAGAAGAAAAAAAATACCAAAAAGAAGCTGTCAGCCCCCAACGCAAGCAAAGCGGCTCAGGAAGGCAGCTCGCCCGAGCCGAAGCTGGAGTCACAGGCCAGCAGCCTCACAGATCACGAGTACACCGCAGGGGCCAGCACCTTTGGGGTCGCCCAGCCTAACAGGGGATCGCAGCCGATGGCACCCGGTGTTTTCCTCACACAGAGGAGACCCTCTTCATCCTCGCAGAACAATGCCTCCGCCAAAGGTACCAGGAAACGCCGGGGGTTGTGGTGCAGGAGTGGGGAAGGGTGAAGCCATCATGTAACCCGTGCCTTTTGCAGGGCCTTCACATGCCGTGTGTGCCGTGGGGATGCAGAAGTGCAGACGTTTGGATGCAGGTCAGATCCAGTCAGAGATAGGGCCCATGGCCTCGGCTGTCCTGGCACTGGGGGCCAAAGAGGTGTTTTGCTCCTGGGCTGTTGGTTGCAGGGTGTGAGGCATCCCATGTCAGGAGCACTGCTGAGCATGGCCTGAGCTCGTGAGGAACACCCACAGTGTCACATCCCAGTCCAGCCTGTCTGGCAAAGCCTTGTCTGGGGAAAGAGGAGGCTGTTCTGTTCAGAGTAGGGCAGCACTGTGGTGGTGGCAGGGGTTGTACATCACCCTGTGCTGACAATACCTGAGGACACTCCTCCCAGGCTGTGTGAGGCAGGGCACACTGCAGATCTCTCTGGAGAGTTGCCTCAAAGGAGCAGAGGAATAGCAAACCTCGGGAGTAACACAGGTTACAGGAAGAGGTCTCTCGTTGTCTGCCATAGGGAAAGTGTGACAAAGCTGAAGCTGTGCCCGGATCTGGGCTAGGACCTCCTGTTCTCTGCTTGAACTTGGATCAGGAGGTGTGGCTGAGGCAGGAGTGTGGGACAGGCGCTGCATAGTGTGAAGGTTGTGTGTGATCCCACTGGGAAAGACCCTGATGTGACAAGTGAGGCAACGTGGCATGTTTTCTGAATTCCCTGTATTTGAGTGGAGCAGATTAGAGGAAGTGCAAGGTATCCTGGCAGCTTGGATGGGCCATAAAGGAGGATGAGTATAGCCTGTGGTAGGTGCTGGGGTCCTGCCAGGAGCTAGTAGTATTTGTGGCTTTCTGCAGAGCCAGAGTGGAAGGAACGTGTTTACCTGGAATTCTGCCTTTGTGTTGAAATGGTGGCATTAGGGAAACAGTTCCAAGGTAGTGGAAGATGTGGTGGGAAGATGATCCATCAGATCCAGATGCTGATGGAGCCAACCCCCAGTGTGGCTGGTGAGCTGGCCAGGCATGTGGATCCCACCCTGCCCATGGGATCACTCAGTCCTCAAAGGAGGGAAGGGGTCATTGCCAAGAGAGGAGAGGCTGATGTAGCAGGGAGTGGAGCACCATCAGGGAGTGCTCCACCATCAGTGGAGCACCTGCACCCTTCCTGTGCAGGGTCTTAGGACAGCTGAAGGCTCTGAGGGGACTGCAAAGCATCTCTGCATGGAGCACAGGAGAGTACTGAGTGTGGGGACCACCAGGTTGGGCATCAGTGGGAATGAAGGCACTATGGAAGGAAATGGTGGGGTGAAGCAGAACCAGGGAGTTCTAGGACCTCCTCAGGAAAGGTCTCTCAGTCTTACAGAGTGATGTGAAAGGAAGAGAAATGAGGAAACTTCCTGTGGGAAGTGTCACCCACACCATCACAGTCTTTAAATCTGGGGCACTTAAAGCACCTGGGACCAGTGGAGAGGAGCTGAGTCCCTGCAGGCACCACACTTGACTGACCCTGTGGCAGATCAGTGGGAAGGGGAGAGGCTGCCTGGGTTTGTGCCCAGCAGTGCTGGGGCAGTTCCTGGCTGTACGGTGGTAGCTGGGGAGCAGCTGAGGAGCGGCTCCAGTCCCAGGAGCAGCACACAGGGAACACAGAGCTCACTTAACCACATTGCTGGGGCTCCTGGTGGTGGTGGTGTCCTCATCAGGATGAGGACAGGGAGTGATGTCCACCTGGGGTGTGTGGGAGTGCCTTGGTGCTAGTCTGGATCTGCAGGAAGGAAGCATGTGTGTCTGTGTGTGTGTTTCCAGCATCCTCCTGGTGAGGCTGGATGCAGGTGGTGTCTCTTGCACTGCAGGAAGAGAGGGCAAGGAGAAATATGGAGATGTGGTGGTATGTGGGTTGGTCTCAATGTGGTGAGTGAGGGACCAGGCATCCTCAAGGCAGTGCTTGTCCCAGGACCTGTGGTGGCATGTGAGCTGAGGATCCCTGTGCCACATGTTTCCCGTAGAGGAAGTCAGAGAGGAGCCCAGAGATCCCTGAGGAGCCTGCAGGTGCAAGGAGCTCTGTGTGTGTGTGTGTGTGTTTGTGTATGTTTGTGTGTCTGTTTGTGTGTGTGTATGTGTTTGTGTGTCTGTTTGTGTGTGTGTTTGTGTGTCTGTGTATGCGTTTATGTGTCTGTGTGTGTGTGTGTTTGTGTATGTATGTGTGTGTGTCTGTGTGTTTTTGTGTGTGTGTGGGTTTGTGTTTGTGCAGCCTCTCCCTGAGGAGCGGGATGGCACTGGTGTGGCAGGGTTTGAATGTCACCCCGTGGGCAAACAGGTGACCATGAGCAGTGAGCCAGGGCAGGGCAGGTGAAGACACAGGGCAGCAGGGCTGGCACTGCAGAGGCCGGAGGGTGCCCAGCAGAGACGGGTCCCTGGGGGTGGGTGGGTGGGCAGTGTGCCCTCACTGTGGCAGGGTTGGTTCTCCAGGGACTGTGTTCCTTGCTGAACCCCTCACGCCTCGGGGGTCCTGGCAGGTGTCCTTGAAGGTCCTGGGCAGGGCTGTCAGCAGGGCCATGGGGCAGGAGGCAGCCAGAAGGTCGGTGCCTGTGGGGTGGTGTGGGGCAGGTGCGGGCCCTCACCTCGACCCTGCTCTCCTTCCAGGGAAGCGCACGAAGAAGGGGATGGCCACGGCCAAGCAGCGGCTCGGCAAGATCCTGAAGATCCACCGGAATGGGAAGCTGCTGCTCTAGTGGCTCTGGGGACACTGCCACCCAGCTCTGGGCCCCCACCACAATAATCCCTTTAACTTTCAGCGGTCGGACTGTACAGAATCCTGCTATAAATATTTTTTAATATAGATGTCCTTTCTCAGAGTGCTGAGAGCGACTAGCCGCAAAAAGTTAATACTAATCTCGGCCACCGAGGAGTGTGTCGGTCCCCCCGCTCCGGCACCGGCACCGACCCGGCTCCGGGCCTTGGGCCCCCTTCCCGCCCGGCTCCGAGCAGAGCGGGCGGCCGTGGCCGGTGTGGCGGCAGGGTCGGGAGAGCGGGAAGGGGCCGCAAGGCCTCGTGGCGGGCGGGGACCGCGGGGCCGAGGCGCCGGGCTGGGAGGCGGCGGGCGCGTTTCTCAGGCACCCCTCTGCCACCCCGCCGCGTTCCCGGGCCCCCCTTTTCCTAGAATGTAGCTTGTACATAGCTTTTGGAATAACCACCGCCGGGTTTTTATACGGGGAGGGTCTCTCCGGGCGCCGCCCGCCGGTACCAGCTCTTTGCGTAACTTCTTGTACGAGGAGGGAGACAGTTATTTTACTAGCACCTTGTGGAGTGTTTCCGTGTTTTGTGACGATGTAATTTATTAATGTTTGTAGCTTTTTATATTTGTACATTTCTTATGGGCTTTGTTTATATACACACATTACCGGGGCGCGGCGCCTGCGGGGAACCAGAGCCACCCGCCGCCGTGGCACAGGGCCACCGGGGCCACCGCCAGGGCCACCGGGGCCACCGCCAGGGCCACCAGGGCCGCGCCGGCCTAGGCGTCGCGCCGGCTTTTTTTATTATGATTATGATTATTATTATTAGTATTATTATTTTTTCGCGACATGTACATTTCTAACAAAGTTTATCGTGGCTATCTATCTATGACGGTGTTTTATTTACCGATTCATATCAAATGCTCTTGTATCGACTTCACGAAAATCTTAAGTAAACCTAGAGCAAAGTTTAAAAAAAGAAGGAAAAAAAAGAAAAAAAAAAAAAAGAAAGCAAAGTAAAACTATTTCAGGTTTTGTACACAATTGCCTGGGCCTGGCCTTTTTGTGGGGTCGGCGAAGGAGGGGTGGGGAGGCAGCCACGAGGTGTCTGAGGGTGGGTTGGAGGAGCAAGCAGGGACCCACAGCAGAGGCAGCTGTGGGGGCTCTTCTGGCAGTGCCCCAAGTGCTCCCAACCCCCTGCTAGACCTCTGCTTGCTGCAGCACCACAGGAAGCCCTGGCTAATTGGGCATGGTTTTGAGTGTCCCAGTAAGACACCTCATGGTCCACCCAGAGATGTTCCCCCACCGCCCAGCACTGCTCTCATCATCTACCTCCCTTGGACAAGTGTCCATACATGCTTGTTTCCCTCTGCTTCCTCCCTCCCTCTTGGAGGTCACCAGGTGCTCCAGGCTTTCCTCTTTGCACACACTGAAACGTGCAGCATCCCACCATTTTTCCAGACTGGCCCTTGAGGCCAGTTTCCAAGCACTTCTTAGTTGTCACAGAGAAACTGAACACGACACCTGCTGACATGTGCAACCTGCAGTTCTTTTTCCTGACAAAAGGCTGTTCCCACCACCCACACCTGCTCCCTGCTCTTGGAGACATTATGCTGGCAGTGTTCCCCTCTGACAGTCCCAGCAACCCCAGTGGTGCAGGGCTCTCTGCCTCAAGGTAAGTGTGGTGTGGCCTCACACCCCAACCACGTTGTATTTGCTTACTGGATGACAGTGACATGATGGGATAGAATCATACAGTCATAGAATCACAGAAAGGTTTACAGTGGGACGGACCTTAAAAGCCCATCCAGCTCCACCCCCTGCCATGGGCAGGGACACCTTCCACTAGCCCAGGTTGCTCCAAGCCCCATCCAACCTGGCCTTGGACACTTGCAGGGTTGGGGCAACCCCAGCTTCTCTGGGTAACCTATGTCTCACCACTAGGGAAGAATTCCTTCCCAGTATTCCATCCATCCCTGCCCTCTGGCAGTGGGAAGCCATTCCCCCCTGTCCCGTCACTCCATGCCCTTGTCCAAGGCTCCAATCCAGCTCTCCTGTAGCTCCATCGGGGATAGTCGGTGACCTGTTTTGTAAGCTCTGATGTCTGAAGAAGAATGTGCAAGTGACCTGAAACATGTGGCACAGGCCAGGTTTTGTGGCTGTGTCCTCTTGAAGTCAGAAGTGGTCTGAGTGTGTTGTTCCTTCATGGATATTGATTGAGCATTAAGCCAACAGGGAGTTGGCTCTTCCCACATTCCCTTCCATCATCCCACGATGCTCAGACTCCATGAGAGCAACAAGCCCCACCCAGCCATGGCACCTGCAGAGCAGAGCTGACCGTGTGTCCTGTCGCAGATGAGGGTGACCGCGGTGTCACCGCTCGCTCGGTGGCTGCCCCAGCGCGTGCCCCGCGGACACCCCTCGCCCAGGCCCGCACACCCCCAGCCCGCCGTGTGACGGGGTTGGTGGCAATATCGAGCCATCGCCAGCTGGGGGAGTTCACAGTTCAGAAACAACCGCAGCCGGGAAAATGGGACCCGTTGTAATGGAACCTCCCGAGCCCCTCTCGAGGCTCAGGGAATCGAGCAGCGCTTGCTTACCATAAAATATCCTGAGTTGGAAGGGACTCACGGGGATCACCAGCTGTGAGTGGACAGTGTGCGCCCGTCCAGCACACCCACTGCAGGTGAAACGCCCTCAGACACACACGAGCAGAGCCTGGACGCTACAGCCTGAAGGAACCGTAGCAAGGGCTGGCAAACCAGTACAGAGCTGCCACTCCCATCTGGGGACAAGAGGTGACAATTGCTGTGCCAGCTGTCCTGTGCAGGAGCCTGGGGCTGGCATGGGACCTGAGTGCCCACATCCCTGGGGTGTCCCCTTGGGACACCTTTGAAAAGCACAGTCAGGTGAACCCAAATGCATCACCCAAATGCCTCTGCCTGGCCTCCCTCACATCCACAGTGGCTTTTCCAGGGACACAGGGCTGTCCACAGGCAACATGGCCCTGGGGTGTTCCTGCCAAGGGCGGCTGCTCAGCCTGTTCTGCCTCCCAGCCCAGGGTGCCAGGCATGATGCCAGAGAGCTTTAGCTGGTGGACTGTGGTTTCCAAGACATGCAGCGTGGCCATCAGAAGTTTGAATAGTGTCATTACACTTTCCAAACCATTCCTTATCCTTCCTTATCCATAGCCAGCGACAAGGTTTGAGGAAGGTGCTACAGAAATCCTTCACATGCTGTTTTTTGGGTATTTAGAATCATCATAGAATAGTTTGAGTTGGAAGGGACCTTTAAAGGTCATCAAAGGACCTTTTAAAGGTCATCTAGTCCAACCCCTCTGCAGCGAGCAGCCACTGGCCATTCTGGGCAACCATTTCCATGATGGTGTTTCAGCAGGGACTGCCTTGCTGGCTTCTTGGAGTGCTGGGGGCTGCCTTAACATTTTACTCCTGGTGTATCTTGGCTTTTCAGCCTTCTCCCCAGGAAGAACACACAGGGGTTCATGACACGTTATTCCTCCATCCATGATTCTGTCCAGTCACTTCAAATCTCTTGCCTAGTTCCGGGATTGTTCCTGCTGCCTTTGCCTCCATGTGGTTTTGCCCTTCCCCTGTGTTCCCACACAGTCCATGCCTTTCCCTTATACACTTCCTCAACAGCTGATGGGGTGTGTGGCTCGATCCTGGCATTCCCCATGCATGCTGTGTGGACATGTGGTGGTGTCTCTGTCTCCACAGTGGGGCTGCTGACCCTGTGCAGTTAACACTGTTCCCAGACAGCTCTTCCACTTCTGCTCAGACATGCTCCACAGGGCTCTGCAGTTAACAAGTTCTTATCCTACACAAATGTAATATCAAAGCCAGAGACAGGAGAATTAGGGGTAAGGGTAGCTCAGTTTACCCTTGGCTGGCTTGGTGTGTCCTGTCAGCACAGCAGCCCCGTGGTGCCACACACACAAGGGGTGCCAGGCCCAGGTCCCATCTCCCAGCTCCTCCGCAGGGCTCTCCAGCAGTGAGAGCTCTTCAGGTGCCAGCAAGACAGAAAAGCCAGGTTTCTTTTTTCTCTTACAATGCCTCACATTGGAAATACAGCCTGTGCAATTGCAGCCCTGGGCTGTGCCAACCCCTCTGCCCTGCCCCTGAGCCTGGTGAATGCTGCCCCAAACCTCTGCTCCCAGATCAGCCGGGTGGAGATCCCGCTCCTGAGCCGGCCTCGCTCACACGCAGCATGGAAACGCTTTGTGTCCCCCACAGGCATTTGGAGAGACCACAGAGTGTTCCACACTGGCTCCTCCTCAGTGGGCTGAGGACACCTAACACTCTCACTGTGCTCCATCACAAATGCTGGGCACTTTGGCAGGTGAAATTCTTAATTCTTCTGCTCTTGCCAGTGTGGAGCTGCCTGCAGGAGGGACAAGCAGTTCACCTTCAGTTTTACTTTTACAGTGACTGGCAACTGGAATGTCATAAATTGACTGCTCGATACACAAAGGATGCCCTGGCCAGGGAGGTGTTTTCTGTACACTCACATGTGGAGAGACTGTTGGCTGCTCCCAGTAAACGATTACTCACAACATTTGGGTTTCTGCTGTTTCTGTCTTTAAGCTAACAGGAATTACTCAAACCCAGACATTTGGCACAGCCACACGTTAATCTCACAGATCCCATGTTCATCTCTCATCCCTGCTCAGGGCAGACCCTCCTGCACTGTGACATCCAGCAGTGGCCCAATGCCATCCCTTGCTGCCAACACTGTTCTTTCCATTTCCATCTGCCATGGATCTGGAGTGCCCACCCCACAGGAGTCACAGCCTTTGTGTAAACTGTTTTGAAGTTGTTCTCTGTGTATCACAAGAGAAAGTCTGCTTCTCCTCTTCTCTTGAAAATGTAATAATTATAATTAATTAGATTTCCTTCTGTTTCCAGCCAGTTGGGAAGATGCACTTTGAGGCTCATTTTGAGGTCACTCTCCTCTCAAACTTCACATACTTCTGTCCCCCAGCTCATTGCATTTGCTAAATGAGCTCCACGGCACACTCCTCAGGGGAAGGTGTGGATCAGCCTGGGGCTGCCCACCTGCTTGTCTCAGCCTGCTCCTGGCTCCCTCCTTGGCTCACCCCATTACACACTGGTGGGTGTTTGCAGACTGTGTGTGACCATGAGTCTTCCTCTCACCTTCAACTCAATCAAATTAATAATTAGCAGTCACTTAGGAGTCAATTAGGTGACACATCTTGAAAGGCTTTGTGTTTACACTACTCCTTCATTTATGGTTTGAAGAACTCTCTTTGGCAGCACAAGGGAAAACCTTTCTTCCTGAGGTCACCAGGGCATCCTCTGTTCATCTTTGGCCTTGTGACTGGAGTGTAACAGTGTTCATCACTCATTTCTCACTCATTAGCTGGGCAGTGGGCACTGGGGACCTCTGCTATGGCCACATCTCTCGTTGCTTCATGGTCACAGAGAACCCTCTGTCCCTTCACGAAGGCGCTGCCCTCGTGCTGTCTGTGAGGACCCCGTGGGTGTGCAGGGCCCATTAATGGTGATGGCTCGGTCAGGAAGGCAGCACAGACTCTGTGTGTTGGACCTTTAGCATGAGGCCATTTGTGTAGTCCCTCCCACACACCTTTGCTCTTGTTCCACTTCACACTACAGGAACCAGTGCTCCCAGAGAGGACTTATTTTCCCTGCATTTCTGGGGGGAAACAAACGGCCTGTTCACAGAGCTGGATCCCTCTTTAACACAGTGCTAATCCCAGACCAAATAAGAAGTCCCCTGACCCCAAAAATTCCTTCCCTTCATTTCCTCTCTGCCCTTTCTTTTGTCCACCATGATGAGCTCCAGCCCCAGATAGACCCATGCCCCCCTCACTTGCTGGCAGGATGAACAAACAAGACACTGCTGCATAAGAACATCTTGAAAATGAAGATGTTCCTACACATCTGTACAACACCTGCAAGGTGTTCCCACACAGAACTACTCAAAGCAGAAAGTGTGGCACTGCACAGCAGAAGGTGAGACACTTCATCCAGGTGAGGGGC